ATAATCAGACTAATCAGCGACAGATCAGAGTATACAGAAAAGCGCTGACAACATCCGAATTAAGTTTGTTGACATGTACATTTCGAAGTAATTGGCAACTTTGTTCCTGTGTTTTAACAATTTATGTAAACAAATTACAAAACCGTCATAAGGGAGAAAATTGCGCCACTAGATTCTATTATAAAAGTCTAGCTAGTTGTATGACAAACGCCATACAAATCCACATTTCAAACTTTGTACATTAAACATTAAATAAACACAAAGGAAATGTAGCCAAAAATTTGTTAAAATAAGGCGTTTCTATTAGTTCTGCCACCAGCGTATACATGTACATACATAAAACAGATATTGAACAGAGTGGGATTTTTTGTTAAATACCTTTCCACAAAATCTTATAAACTAATTACTGAACATTAAAAAGTTAGTAGCAAACTGATGCATGTCTTACGAACTAAAAATTCAGAAAACCATAAAAACATACATACAGCTGCGTTCGAAATTATGGTACCAAAATTCAGAAAAAAGGTATTGGTAAGGTAAACATTGAACATTAAATAAACATTGAACATTAAATAAACATCGAACATTAAATAAACATTGAATATTAAATAAGCATTAAACATTAAAAAAACAAAGGTAATTTAGCGAAAAATTAGTCAAAATAAGGCGTTTATATTATTTCTGACACTAGCGTTCATATGTACGTACTTAAATCTAATATTAAATAATCTTAAAATTATAGATTTCCAGATGATGTGTTTTTTGATTTTTTTGTTAAAAAATTTTTTTGGCGTAAGCGGTGATGGCTCAGCTCAACTGCCTTTTTGATATCCTTTTCCAACTCAACTGCACCTTTCTTGTTAAATGCATCTATGTGGTATGAAATAGATTATCAAAAAACATTTTATTGTTAAAAGATATGTTTGTTGCCACATAATTAGGGATACTATTTCTTTATAAGTTTAGACCATTTATTTTTTACTTTATTTGTTTTTAACTTTTTTACAAAGATATATTTTATACCAAAACGAAAACCCTGCAACTCAAAGTTTCATTAAAAATCGCAAAATTTCCAAAAATGGTAATCAAAATTTATAACTTTTAAATCACGTTCTCTAGAAACAAATTCGGGTATGCAGATTTACAGCGCATTCAACGTCAGCATAATATTGTGCAAGTTTTAAGCGGCTAAAACCTTGCGTTGTTTTTTGATAATTTTTTACAAAGTGTGTTAGAAATGTTTTTATATAGGTGCATAAATACAAATAACTAAAAAAAAAATAAATGGTCAGAACGTAATTACCTCGTAGGATTGTGTCAACCAGTATGAGTTTGTTCAGTGGTTTTCTCTCCCATCTTCCGTCCCAGTTGAATTGCAGCAATGTTTCGTCCGTAAATAAATGTTTAATGACGCTGCCTACGTCCTCAGACACACCTTTTAATTTTATAATATATGTGGCCTTTTGAAAATATATGTACAGCAATTAGAATGTAAAATAAGCATTCCATCATATAATTCTTTACCATGGCTTGTGCATACTCTGGATCTCGTAACTTGGTTTCCATTAAATCCACAGCGCAATCGGACTGCAGTGGCAGAGAACTGGCGATGTCATCTAAATTTTTGTCAGAAATTATTAATTTTAAATGAAATATTTTATAAAACTCACAGTATACAGTAATCCAGATAGGCAAAACAAAAAATGTAAATATGCTTATTTGACAATTTATTTGAATGTATTGGTTGATATTTTTTCACAGTTGTCGTTTTCTTTAACCCAAATGAAATCCAATTTCAATATTTTCTTATAGTGGAATTTATTTTCAAGTCACATAAAATAAAACAACGAGAAAAACAAAATTCCGAGCAAATCAGGCTTGCAGCGTAAGCGATTATAACCGGATGCAGTTCCTACATAAGTCATATCTGGTTTCAAACACAACTTTGAGTGAATAATGGTGGGCTGATTTTGGAAAATGGACCCATAAATTAGGGGGTAAAACAATTATTACTTAGCTTAAAGGTAGAACTCTCTAATTTTCAAATATACCACTCTTATAGTGGAGACCTCCAAAGTTTTTATGAAATATGTACCCAAAGTTATATATCGACGCTCGAACTAATGCAGGAAAGGTTTATGCAGATAAGCAAGGCCGTTTTTTCAACGGTATAAAATGTATATACACATATTCTTACATACATATTTATCAAAATATTCAGAATGACGAAATGAATTGGTTCAGTCCTGTCTGTTTGTAAACACGCTAACTCGAACAAAATTTAGATATTTTAACGAAAGTAGGTGCCGAAGCTGCCTTTGGTATAACGTAGGTCAGTATTAAATTTTGGTGAAATCTGTCTATAACCACGACCACCTCCCATGTAGTAATCAACAATATTTTTGTTTTATTGTTTTTTTTTAATGAATTTCGCTGTTAAAATTTACATTTCAAATATATCAACAAACATTTGGGGGTACTTTTGCACCAGTCATTGCCTATGGGTTAATGACAAAATAATCCTATACATGCACAATATCTCATGTATTAATTTTCAAATAAGCATATTGTCAATGGCTGGTTTACTGTATACTGTGATAAAACTTATCTTTATTTTTCCAAAGCACTTTAAGTTTTGAACATCTTTTCGTTTTGCGTCTTTCTTTTTTCTGTTGATGTGCGCATTTGAACTTCTTCAGTACCAAGTACTTTATAATACGGTTTTATTTATTACGTTTATATATAAAAAGAATGTCATACCACAATGAAAACTTTTATTTTTACTTACTTTTGCTATGAGCGGGGTCGAATAATGATAAAATTAAAATTAAACTAATTAAGTTCAAAATTATATCCAAGTACTTCAGTACTCGACATTATTTGGCAGGTACAACTACTTTTGTTGCGCACAAAATGCAGCCCTAGTGAATCTTGTGGTTACTATGGCAACCAACTACCGTTACTTCTATCAGCATTGACACTCACTTGATCGATCAAATGACAGTCATTCCCTACGGAGCCAAACTGGCATATAAAATTTTGAATATGTGTTAGTTTTCGTTGAGAATGGGTTAGAGTTTCTGTCATTCGCGTCTTGTAGGGTGCTTTCCGCAGGAAAGCAGTTATGTTGCTAGCAAGGAACCACAGTATAGACAGTAACACCCGATTTACATGATTCAAGTACTTGAAAGCAATTCTTGCTCATTCTCTTTTGTGTTTTCTATTTGCTTTTACACGTTTCAATTCTGTTGAATTCAAGCTTTTGGTTCTTTAAATGGGAAGTAACGAAAATGCCAAAAGCAAAGCAAGAAAGTTGAAACGACTTGACGGTACAGACGCATGTGTACTCGTCCCTTTTCTTCTCACCCCCTCTCTTCCACATGCGAGCAGAATTGAATTCAATACTTGAACTGTGTAAAAGCAGTCTAACCAACCTTTTTGGGTTGTTGTTGTAGTAATCGTTGTTGTTGTAGTTATATTCACTCCTGAGGAAGGCACGGGGTTGTGTGCTGCTATTTAATGGCCTTCCTCAGACTTTTTCTTAGATTTCAGGGTTGTGTGCTATATTATTATTAGATAAATAAATTTAAGTATTTGTCAAATCGTGATTTTATTAAAAGAAAATTATAAATGGTGTTGAAAAACCAAACAAACGCTCGTGCGAAAGCTCTATTTTTGTGTATTGTTAAAATTTATACATGGCGTACTTATTCTTTTGTGGACTTTATGTTACTTGAGAATTTAGACAACGTGCGAGCTGCCAGGTTCTGTTATCAATATAATTAACACAAGCTTTTCCGAGTGGTTGCCTTTCAATAAAAAGAATAAACAAATATTCGCAAATAAATTGGATTTATTTTATAACTGACAACTAACCTACTCTTTTTGTTCTTTTCTCCATTTTAATTTTGACTCCTTATTACCGCCAACAACTTTATGTGTATACATATTTACAAGCTGTCAAAATTTTGCGTAGTCCCACGAGCTAGGTAAAAACTATGGCATTCGTATTCACAACGAGAAATCTCAAAATTTTTGTTTGGTCTTTCCAAATTTTCTCTTTTTAATCAGTTGGCAAAGGCCCTCAGTGGCAGCGCTCCGAGCGTTGAGATAGTAATTTCATGTCAATTAGTAGAAAAGTTCCATGTTGAAAAAACTTTTTATTATGGCGAGAAAATTTTTAATTTCTGCTGTGCCAATTCGTAACTTTTTACTGCTGGAAATTTTTGACAGTTGCTCTGGTTCAGAAGAAGTTGAGCAATTAAAGTCAGAAATTATACAAAAAAGACTTGTCTTTACTGACATTTATTCTTCTAGAACTAAAAGCCATGCATTTATTAGACGCCTTAGTAATAAAATTAGAACAAAAAAATTCTTCAAAGCCGTCAGGCCGTGTTGAAAATTTTCAGGCGTGTGTACCAATAATTTCATCCCTAGCATGAACCAAAAATACAAGATCACGTAAGAACGCGACGTTGTATTTGTAACTGGTTTTGAGAAAAAAGTTTGCGAAAGCGGGTTCGTCAGCTGAGCGTTTGTTTACATCACAAGCACCACTATTTTACACTTTTATTCAAGTAAAGAAAAGTTAATTCAACATGACAACACATTTTAAAGCATTTTGTGGCATCATTTTACCTAAATTGTGCGTTTAAAGTGGCTGACAATAATTTCGGCTAATTTTGGTTTTCGTTGTTTTCTTTGCTTTGTTTACTTTTCGCTCGTTTTCCAGTGAAACAAGATGGCGTAGAACCCGCTAAAAAATCGACTTTTTTCACTCTCTTGTTCTTACGTGATCTTGTGTCTTTCGTTCATGCATCCCTAGCATATTCATCCCCGAGGAAGGCAGACGCCAAATTCACCGAAGGTTGTTTACTGGTTATATTGTGATTGTCAGGGACTTATCGACAGCTATCGATTACATTTGACGCGTTATCACCCTGTTTTTCCGGTAGTCCTTCCCAATGAATTCCGGTAGTGCATTCCAGAATTCAGCGAAATTTGACAGTTTGTCAAATTGACGTTTATTAGTGGCTGGAACGCTTTTATTTTTTTATTTATTGAAATTGTGAAAAATGGGTCGCAATGATTCTGATGATGGTAGCGGTGAGTGTAATTTGCATAATGCTAAACTAAACCGATAACTTGCTATGGTATACATAGGCTCTGAGTCCGAAGGCAGCCATAGTCGATCTCCATCGCCTCAGACAGCACCCACGCCGGGCTTCACATTAGAGCATCATGATCCGGAGCCAGGGTAATAGAATCCGCAAAGAAAACCATAAAATCAAAATCAATAATTTTTTCTAGATCTCCACATAGTCATCATTCAGGCGCTAGTGGAAGCGACCGCAAATCTCGTTCCCGCTCGGGCTCATCTTCTAGTTCGGGCTCGGTCAGCAACTCTGGGTCCCGCTCTGGCTCACATACACCATCTGGTTCACCTCAAAGCCGACGATCAGGGTCTCCACAGAGCCGGCATTCAGCCAGATCGGCGGCCCCTAGCCGGGATCACAGCCCGGCAGGAAATCGTGAAAATTCCCGAGGGGCAAGCCGCTCACAGTCCCGACGGACAAGCCGCTCACAATCACGCGCTGCAAGTCGCTCACAATCACGCGCGGCAAGCCGCTCACACTCGCGCGCGGCAAGCCGCTCACAATCACGCGCAGCAAGCCGCTCACATTCGCGTGCGCC